TACCATATTTTGTTTTCATTCCCATTCTTCTCCCAGTTACTAATGTCACGTCTTAACACCTTTGTCCAGATTCTGTGAAGGGTTCTGCTCTTAAAGCATCTGTCTTAAGAACTAGTCTGCTAGACCCGCTATTCTTAACTTATTTGTAAGGAGAAAGAATGGTTTTTTTCCCCCCAGGAAGTTTGTAGGATGCTTTAATATTTCCTGTAGAAAAACTTTTGTTAGGTAATACTTGAAACTGAAAAGGCTAGACTGTACTTACTCTGTGTACCACTTTTTACCTTTAGCCTGAGGCCTCACTATTCCAAAGAAAACAGAACAAGAAAAACGTCGAGATTCACTTTTTCATTCTTTATTTGCAGCTGAGTTGAACTTAATGTCTCCTTTTGGAAAAACAACTCTTGAGTTGGCCTAAATATTTCTTAGCAAAGCATAAAAAGGTTCAGTACTTGGGTTGAGATTTAAGATCCACTTTCTTTCATTGGGCTTGTCCTTGGACATTCAAATATCCTTTATATCATAAAAGCATAGTATGCAAATTGTCCCCTCAACTGGGAGTTGTCCGGGAGTTCAATCGGGGTGGCCCTGGCCAGGGGAGGGGAGGGAGGCCTTGGCCCACACCACTAGGGATCCTATCAGTGCACGCATTTGTGCACTGGGCCTCTACTATAGATATGTAAGCAGTCTTTTGTACTTAAAATAGTTTGAGAAATGTTCCTATTAAATATACAACTTTTTTCACCCATTGAACTTAATTTACTTCATGTGAACACAGCTTCTGTGTACTGTCTTCCATATCTTTCCCATTGCTTTTTGGTGGTTTTTACCCTAGATAAAACTTACTTAACTTTTAGTTTCTGCAGTGATTTGGAGTTACCTGTACTTTAGCTTATCACTAGATTGATAATTTTCCCACTATTTGATTTCTCTGATTCCCCATTCCTCCATAAATTACTGATTTTATCTCTTTCATAGATTGACCAAACTGTGCACTTACAGTCTGTAGGAAGTGATTGTCTTTTTATCTCTTGATTGTTTCACTTTTCAAAGTGTCATGTATTTAACTTTAAACATCCATGATCAATGTCTTCTTTTATGGCAGAAAAGAGGGGATCTGATGATAAAAAAAGTAGTGTGAAGTCCAGTAGTCGAGAAAAACAGAGTGAAGACGCAAACACTGAATCAAAGGAAAGTGATACTAAGAATGAGGTCAATGGGACCAGTGAAGACATTAAATCTGAAGGTGACACTCAGTCCAATTAAAACTGATCTGATAAGACCTCAGATCAGACAGAGGTAAGTGTATTGTTTCTCACTTTGATTAGGGCTTTTTGTTACTGTTTGACAGTGCAGCGTAAGTATGCACAGATGAAGATGGAACTAAGCCGAGTAAGAAGACATACATCTTCTGAAGGAAAAGACAGTGTAGTCCTGCAAAACATTTTGAGGTACATTGTTTTGTCTCAGCTATTTTGTAGCAGACTCGTGCCCCCATTAGTGTGCCTCTTTGGAAATTATTGCCCACATTTGTAATATAGTCGCCATTGAAAAGTTAATTATCCTTTTTTTAGGGATTTTGCTGTCATTTCTTTTTATTTTTTTAAATAAAAAGGTTGAACTGTTTTGTTTTTTTTTCTTTTTGGTATTAAGTCCATCTTGTGTTGGTACATTGGCAGAGACATTGCTTTAAAAACTTAAATATTTCTGAGGCACATGTTGGACTACTTTGTTTTAATTAAACTGCTAGTTATTTCTTTGTCAAGGATGTTTCTAGTTTTTTGCTTTATTGCCTTGCATTCTAATGCAGTTTGTTCTGTAACTCGAGAGCCAGTAGCATTGGATTGATGGAAGTGTAGGGTTTATGAATTATTGCAGCTGACTACCATACCTCACACAGCGTTGGTGTTGTGAGCGGCCCATGAAAAGCCAAATTAAAAATCAAGGATTCAGTCAAACTAAGCAGGTACTCATGCCAGGTACTCCTTTCTCTACCCACATCCATGTTTGAATGCTATTGCCTGTGATCTTTACGCTTAACTGTTGTGTATCTTTTTTGTTCTTTACAAGAAGCACAGGGGTTTTTTGTGTATTGCGTGAAACTTATAAATCAAATGTTAACAGAATGGAATTTTTTTTCAACTGTATGTAGGGATGCAGTGGTGCCCAGAATTAGATATCTTTAAAGAATTTTAAATACAATAAACACTTCATATTATTCGCCTTGTTACATTCAATGCAATTCAAGTCTTTAAGAGGTATGTGTTTAATATTTCCTACTGTGTAGGAGAATTTCAACCATAGGTATATTGGAATAGTCACTGGCTGATAAGCTAAAGCAGCAGTGAATAGCAAGGATAGACATTTTCAGTCTGTGAAATACAAAGAGCTGATGAACCATACAGAATGAATTTGGGTTTTTAAAGAACTGTTAAAAGTCAGGCTTTATCAGAGTTCTTAAACCCTACAAACTATTCATTCTTTGGGCTAGTGGCGTGGGGTAGAACATTCCTAATGAAAGGAAGTACCAATTAGTTGATTTATCGGTGGCATTCCTTTTGTAGAACAGCAGTATAATGTGATGTCTGTGTGAGCCATTCCCACATAGGCAAGTGAACACAGGCACATGGCTTTAAGACCACACTGATGCCTTGATAATGAAAAAAGAATACAAAGACATTCCATATACATATATTATTAGCAGTTAGTGACTGGGCCAACACTTAGTCATAAAAGTTTGCCTTTTTACATGTTGTCTAATTAATATTTTTCCCCAAATTTTGCATTATAGGACTACTGTTCGAAGATTTTTGGAAGAAAACTGAAAACGGCATAAAGTGAAGACCGACATTAAAATGAGGTGAAAGAAAACTATAGTGGCATAGAAAAAGTATAAAGCTCAGTTAGTTGTTTTTTTTATTATTATTATTATTAAAAATTAATTCAGGACTCATGTGACCTACCAGATTTCAGAACATGTGTTAATATATATGCCACTGAAAACTTAGGTCATGTATCATATTTTTTTCTTTAAGACTTTTTAAGAAATATTACCTAAACATGTGGCTTGCTCAGTGTTTAATTGCAAATTTTCACTCTTGGACTTTGAAAACAGGATTAAACGTTAGTATTCGTGTGAATCAGACTAAGTGGGATTCCATTTTTACAACTGCTATTCCTAGCCTTGGATTTAGAGTGAAAATAAAGTATCTCTGACTTTCTGTTACAGATTTGATTGTCTCTGTCATTGATCTCTGTCATTGAAAGTTTTAGTATTCATCTTTTTCTAATAAAGGCATTGACTCTGAACTAGTCCCTTGTTTTAAATATAAGAGGTATATTGTTAATAAAGGTATTAGTGCACAGTTGTATGTGGTTCTGTTTAAGACTAATTTTTATAGAATTTCCACAGTTTGAATGTTTTTAATAATGGTGCTTCAATTTGGGGTAGTTATGAATAAATTTGAAATAAATTTCAATTTTGCTTTTAAATTGCAAAGATGTATAGTGCATTAGAATATATTTTTACATCCCTGAGAGATATCTTTAGTGGTAGGAAATTCAACATTCTGATGATCACTATCCTCTAGCTGTGATATAATGATGTAGAAGAGCATTCAAGAACTTTTAACTCATTTTTTGTCTATTTTAAATTGTGTATCAAGGTTTATTTTATCAGATCTTGTTAGAATACAAATGTAATTATTTCTATGGGTGTGTAATACATTTAACAAGGATTTTTTAAAAAAGGACTGTTGGATAAGCTGATGATTTCTTTCCCCTTTAGCCACGTATGGAAAATTTGGTAGCAAGTTCCTATTGATAACCCACTCTGTCAACGACTGTATAAAATTACCGCCAGTTACATTTCGTAATATTTTGTGATTTATAGTTTTCAAATACTGCCATAGTGTATAGGTAAATTGAGTAAGTGGTTTAAATGACTTACCCAAGGTCACCTGACTCCATATTGGAGAGCTAGCACATGGAGTGTAGGGTCTGGCCTCAGTGGTAAGCCACTGGATTTTTTCAGTAGGCATAATGAACTGCTACAGAATTTACTACAATCATCTCCACCCAAATTTGGAAAATCATGAAGCTGACACTTCAGAGGCTCTATGAGATAATGCTTTGAGGACAGTGCACTCCTGGCTTACCTAAGTTGATTCTGAAGATGCAGCAAATGGGTTATCTCTGAAACTTTCACAGATGATTCACACGATAATTAAGATGGGACGGAAAAACAATCTAACGCAAAATCGGCCACCTCCAAGCATTGCTTTGTGGAGTTTGACATGATTGCCTACAGGGAGAAAGAATTTAAAGTGGTAGTTTACTATATTCCATTAAGTATTAAGGTATTAAAATGCCAGGTTTATTACTCCTTTCTGCCTCACATTAATAGCTAATTTAACAATGTACAGGAAATGAATCTATCTCTACAAACACTGAAGGTCAATACTGAAGTTATGTGGGATTTGGAGGGAGGCCTGGTCCCCTTAAAGTGTCCAGGATTAGTTAGTTATGGAGCTCTAGAAGTTGGGTCACTCCCTAACACCCAGAATATATTAGGCTCTAGGGGAAATGATTCTTGGTAATCAAATTCACAAGAATCCAATATTAAGAGACTGTATAAGAAATACACATTTCTGCCTTGCAAACAGACCTAAAAGTTGCTAGTTGGTTAATGCATGTTTCCTTTCTGAAAAGCCTTTAAGAGGAGCCAATAAAAGACATACCCATAGTAGAACCAGTATCATTAACCTCTATTAAAACTCATCACTGGTAATACTCAGTGGCTTGTCTTATTTTGTGTGTGTGTTTGTCCTCTACTCCTCCCTCGATTACTTAAAGTCTCACGTGTATCATTTAATCTGTAAATATTTCAGCATATATCTCTAAAAGAAAAGGTTTCAAACAACTCACTGATTAAAATAAATGGGGTGGACTTTTAATTGGCCAGTCATCACCTGTATTATTACTCGGATAGCTTACTCTATTGCATGGCCCTGGGAATGGAGTCTCCTGCTCTGGCATCCTTCCAACTGCAATGTAGAGACTCCTTTTTTCTTTTTTACTGTTTTTAAGGTATTAAATAGGAGTACATATGTCTCTCTTTTTTTTTTAAGTAGAGACACTTGTACATTGTATTGATCTACCCCTTTTTTTAAGACTTTTTTTTTAAATCGCTATTTTTTTAGTTTGAATTGAAATACATTTCTCACCTTAAGCTTATTATAAACTAGTCATATCGCCCACCTTAGGTATGTGTGTCCTCTCCTTGTAGCGTCACTCGGCTGCGGGTGGTATGTTCAGTGTCTCCACATACACATGGAGTTCAGCAACCTTGCGATTAAGTTCCTAGAGATGTTAAAACAACAGCCTCGGTTAAAAGTTTTTTGGACTTGCATCCATTCTGTGCTTTTAAAAATGCATTGTAGATAAGCTGTGTGAATGTTTTTAAACATTTTTTTTCTAAAGTGCATGAAACAGGAAATACACTTGAATTGTTTACACTTTCTGTGGATTTCATTTGGATTTACAAGTTTGAGTTTGGACTGATTTTTAGTTTTTTGTGTCAAAGAACCTCAGGTAACTACTTTAAAAAAAATTGTATCACAATTATAGTGCTTGTACGTGGTTCAAAAAAAAAGCAACGGTAGAAAAATAAAAATTTTTAAAAATTCTAAGCAATACGTCATTAGGAGTGTTTAGTGATCCATGTTTTCCTTCTCCTGTCCCTCTGCTCTTCCTCTACAGGAGCTACGACTGTTAATTATTCTTCTGAGGTGTTTTGTGGGGAAGTGAGCTTAGAGGGGGGGTGTAGATTTTTATATCTGATGGTATACCACGTGTTGTGAATCTTGCTGTTTCACTCCTACGTTTTGAAACATGGGAGACATAGCAGTACATTTCAAGTAAACCAATGCTGAGAAGTAAATGTTTTTCATTGCATCAGATTTTTAGTGCCTATTTTAAAAATGCAGCTTGAGAGTTTTGTAGTTGATCTTTTTCTTCCTCTCAGCCATCCCAAATAGATCAACTGTCAACAGATTTAAGAATATTTAGAAAAAACGGGAAACAGGTTGACACTGGCTGTGTCATAACTTCTCTTGTGGCTCGTCCAACCCCCTAGATATATACCTTAGAGAATCTCCACACATGTGTGCCAGGAGATGGACTTCAGAATGTTACAACAGTATCATTTTAGTAGGAAGAAAAGGAAAAAACAGAAACCTGGAGAGATCCCCAAATGTCCATTAATCATTCACTGGATAATATTGTGATACGTTCCTGCAGTGGAATTCCACACAAGTCAACCTGAACTGCAGCTACAGGTGTGGACACGGATGACTCTGGTCAGAAAAGCAAGCTGCAGGAGAACACTTCCACCCGCTTCTCTTTCTGTGAAGGTCAAAACCAGGCTGTTAAGTACATGGAATTGAGTGCGTGGTTTCTTTAAACTGTACCCTTTGTGCTTTTGTTTGTATGGTATTTAATAAAATTTCAAGTTAAAAAAGGGAGAGGTTTTGGTGTAGGTAGTGCCTAATAAAATAGATGTATTAACAGTGCGTTTTGTTAATTGAACCCTCCTTCGGTTTGGCAGATTTAAAAGGTGGTTTCTTGAGTGCCAAATTTAGGGTCTTCCCATTTTTTTAAAAGCTGGAAATTGGATCTATCTTCGTTTTCATTTGGATGTCAGCCAGGGGCTGGTGCATTTATGCTGTGAAAGCAGCTTCCAAGAAAGCTTTCTCAGGTGTGTGCCGTCCCAGGAGGGGGGAAACTGCTGGTCCGTCTGCACGGTCCTTCCCTGGTTCTCAGAACCTGCTCTGTTTGGTCTGGTTCTACCACTAGTCTGGGTGCCGTCACATGTTCAGTGTTTATTGGCAGTGGCTCTCTTCCTCTCCAAGCTGCTCCCCAGGTGAGACTGGGATCTCCCTGGTGTGAGTTCAGGCTTCTCCCTGATTGCAGGTGCTCCTCCTGGACTTGAGCTCTGAGGGGTGTAAGGGGCGGGGTGAGGAGTTACCACTCACCCTGTCGTAAATTAACTGTGGGAGACCAGGAATTTTGTATCATTCTATATTTTAACCTACATATGTCCTGAAACTTTAAAGACAGCATTCTGGAACTTGGTTCATTTTAGTGTCTTAAAAATCTTAAAGTGAGAAAAAATTTCAGTGGAATAGCGCCTTACTCAACTTAGTTTTCACTAAGTTTTCACTAAGCCTGTGGATGAAGTGAAAACTATAATTACTCTTGAAGTGTCAAATTTTTTGTATTAACAGCCTCAGGACTGTTCAAATTTATTAAAATACATTTTTAATATATATATATATATTGGTGCAGGCTGTGCTTAACAACTTGGAATGGCTATTGAACTTTTTGATTCTTGTGATAATTAAATTGCTGCCCTTGTTATCTTACTGTACTGAACCACTAGGCAAACCTGTGAATGTTCTGCAACTAGGATGGTGTAAGCAACCTAAAATCTCACATTTGCACAAATGATGTGTTCAGCTATCAGTATCACCAACCTGCCTAAGTTGTCCTCACTATTTCAAAACAAAATCGGCCCAGCTTGTTTGGCTCGGTGGTTGGGCCCATGAATCCAGAGATCGTGGTTTAATTCCCAGTCCGTATATGCCTGGGTTTCAGGCTTGATCCCCCAGTAGGGGGCATGCAGGAGGCAGCTGATCAATGATTCTGATCATTGGTGTTTCTAACCCTCGAAGTTTTAAACTGAAATACGTTATGGAGGTGGCACTTGGGAATTGACCCCTGACACCACATCACATCCTCGGGAACACAGCACTGGAGAATGGCTTGAGTCGGGCCATGCTGTCTCATCGTCATGGCTTCAAATCTGCATTCAGTGCAGAGGCGCTTCTGTGAGGCCTCATACAGAGGCTCCCACTGCGCCGGTAGAGAACTTTCCTTTGAATTTATTGCCCAAATCAATCAACTCACCAGAGTGACAAATTTAAAACATGAAACAACTTTCAAAAGTCCATGGATAATGGGCAAACTGCAGATTCAGGTCAGATTCATATTTCATGAGTGAAAAGGTACCATTTCTGTACCTACAGTATTTAAATTTCTGCTTTTTGGGCAATTGGGTAAGTGTTAATGAAATGCCTTAACACTGAGCTATTGGGAATTAGGAGGCCAGGGATGATCTATTTCAGACGCTAGGTTAATCTCCAGCAACTCACTTTTAATCGATTTTGATAGCTCGCTCTTTGTTCAGTCAACTTCAATGAAGTCATTTTCTTTGGGGCTCTAAATTCTGACTAAAGCATCAGCTCTAGATCACCTGCAAATTCATTTGTAAAAGAATTCTCATTTCAAAGCCTTTCAACATTATCAATTTTACAGCATAGAAAATCCCAAGAACTGAATATTAAGTAGATAAGGTGCTTGTGTCAGCAGCTATAATCTTTCCATTATCTGAGGTTTTTCATGGAGTGCTGAGCAGACTCAGGTGTATACCTGCTAAACCCCCACAAACAGAAAGTCTGCAGTTTGGAGGCAGGCTAGGGTTTGACAGGTACTGTTGGTACTGGAATGCATCGCCCTCTACAACACGGAGAGCTGTTGGCACTAGGCCGGGCTTTGGGAAAGCTGCAAGGGAATGTGTAGCCCTGAGGCTCCGGGTCCTTGAGAAGCCATCATGCAGACGACACCTCACTCCCAAGTGACTCCTAACACACACACACACACACACACACACACACGTACCCTTCTCTCCTCTGCCCCCTCCAGGGACTTGAAGGTGAGAGAGAGAGGTGAGCCATGAGAAATGGATAATTCAACCATGTTTGGAGCAGAGGGCGTCTTCAAACTCACCGTCCTGAGAAGGAACAAGATTGAAGGCAGAGGAGTTTGGCTTTGCAACATGTTGAGGGGCTGGGTCATCACCAGACGGGGGCCATCACGGGGGCTGGGTCATCACCAGACGGGGGTCATCACGGGAGCCGTTGGGCAGCTGTGAGTTGGAGCTCGCTGTTCAGCTGGAAACGTGTTAGGACTGGAGGGAGTTGAGAGGCTGCTGCCTCTCCGCATTTGTGCTCTGACAGATATGCCAGTTAATCAGGGACACTGACCTCCCCTTCCTCTGCAGCTTCTCAAGGGACAAATGTCACCAGAAGGGCGATAATTACTTTGAAGTGTGTAGAGTAATTTTCCTTGGTCACAGCCCAAATCATGAAAAGGAGCTGAGTATTTTTAAGGGGTTCGTAATCGGGGGAAGAAATATCTGTGTGCTTAAATTTCTACTTAAATATTTTCGGTGCTGAGTGCTCTGTGTCTTGGGTTCTCTAGCAGAGGAAGAGGCCCTTTATAGGGAGGTTTCCAGAGGGCAGTGGAAACAATGGACACCACACTTACAGTCTGCACCCCACCGGAAGTTGAGAGCCTACCCCGCAAGGTGCCAAACCCGGGAGTGGTCTTAAAAGCCCGGAGTGGTTTCTGACCTGGAGTTTACAAGCTGGTGGGAGAGATGGATGCTCACCAGTGGCCTAAGTACGCGGGAAAGTACAATTGTGGGCTGGGGAGAAAAGCATGGGAGGGGCGGCCAGAAAGGATCTGAAGGATGAGTCAGCTTTAGATCCAGAAGGAAGAGAGAGAGGAGCTTCCAGGGCCCCATGGGGGAGCGATGGGGGCACTTTGAGGAGAGCCAGGCAATCCGAGGCTGCAGGCACTGAGGATGCAGGCCGCAGCCAGGGCATGGGAGGCTGACCAGGCTGTTTGCTGCATGGTAGCCACTGGCCACATGAAATGAGGCATGCTCTAGGTATAAAATACACACTGGGTTTGGATATATGGATCAAGTAAATAGGTTAAAATGAACTTCACCTGTTTTTACTTTTTTAAAGTGTGGCTTTCATTACATATGGGGCTTACACGGTGTTTTTATTGGACAGTCCTGGTCTAGATGAGAGGTTTTTGTCTTTATTCTAGAACAACCTTCAAGCCATTAGGCAGGTTACAGCAAGGGGCTGTCTTAATCACACTTGCATTTTAGAAATTTTTTTTTTTTTTTTGGGGGGGGGGATTCCTTGGGATTTTCTTTACAGAAACCTCACTGTCAAAAAAGTAAAAAAAAAAAAAAAATAATAATAATAACATTCCAGTTTACAGGCAAATTTGAGGCTGAAAGGTAAAACAATCTACAGATTCAATGTAATCTCTATTAAAATACTAACAGCACATTTCACATATCTAGAACAAATACTCCAAAAATGTACGTGGAACCAAAATAGACCCTAAATAGTCACCACATCAATCTTGAGAACAAAGTTGGAAGAATCACAATACCAGACATCAAGTGACACTGTGATGAAAACTGCCTGAAACAAAACCAAAAACAACAGCCTCATCCTGGAATAAGAACAGGCATATAGGTCAATGGAACAGAACAGACCCCAGAAATCGACCCACGCCATTGCCCTCAATGTTTGACAAAGGAGCAAGAGCATAGAAGGGAGTAAAAGACAGACTTCAATAAATGGTGTTGGGAAAATTGGACGGATACATGCAAAAAAATGAAACTAGACCACCAACTTACACCATACGCAAGAATAAACTCGGTGGATAAAAGA